AAAGATGACAATTTCATTTTTGGGTGAACTGTCCCTTTAAGAAGTGCACGTCGCTTCAACAGTCATAAAACACGTCTTTGACTCTCTATGCATTGGTGATCAGATGGTTAAGGATGTGTGAGCTTGTTGGGGATGATCTATGAAGTCACTGATCAACGCTGCTCTGTAAGCGCTGAAAGACAATTAAGCTGAGATTACTTCAGAGAGTGTGCTGAGGCCTGCATTAATGAAAGGCTTCTGCTAATTGCCAATTAACACTCAAACGTGGTTGATAAGCCTTTGCAGATCTGTTATTGTGGTCGAAGAAGGCTGACATGATGCTGTAGAGAGTTAGAATGCAGTTTCGAAGTAATTTTACTGTTATAATGGAGTTTTGAGTGGTGTTTTAAGTTGAGTACAATTTTCAATTTCAATTTTAAAGTACTTTACTGGCATGATTGTGGTAATATTGCCAAAGCATTAGACACCAAACAAGTAATGACAAGAAAAAGACTTATACAATATAAATAACAAATAATGATTAAATTAAAACAGATGATGATTCATGAAATAAAAATCACATTCAAATATATATGGTCTTTGATTATAAGTGTTGCTGAAAAATGAATTTTCTGCAATATTTGTAATACTTTTAGTTATATAATAAAAAACATAAAAAAACATTTTCTTTTATATTTTCTCCTCTTTAAGACAGAAGTCAAATACAGTAGCAAATACCAGTAATGCGCTCTCTATCTTTTCATTTTGAGACACATAAAAGACACATAGACATAAAAAAAAGAGGCATAGATGCATTAAAAAACAAAAACAAAAAACAATAGTAGCATAAACAAGGTTATCATAGTTAAACTAAGCAAAAACTATTTAAAAAAATGTTACTTGAAATAAATATTAAAATATTAAATAAAATATTATTACATTTTAATTATTAAAATATTATTTTATAATAAATAAAATATAAAAAAAACTTGATGCAATAAAATAAATAAAACTAGGACTGAAATAAAGACTATAAAAATATTTTACAATTATAAAAAAAAAAAAGAAGTTAGTATATTTGTATAGCACATTTAAAAACAACTAAAGTGCTTTCTATTGAAACAAAATTCCAGCAGCTTAAATAACAAAATCCCCAAAATCTGTAAAACAAGGTACAATCGACTAAATATAAAGAATATATCTCAATGAGACTAAAATAACACTGAGCCTAATGAGAGAAGATTATCAGTGGAAAGTCCTAAATTAGAGATGAATGTCAGACTCATAGCCTGTTTGCTCTGACATATGGTGCATCCGTGCCTCGGGTGACCCGAGCTCACGTCTCGACTCGTGCCCATTGCTTTCTCTCTCACCCTATACTGAAATACATGTGGTGGGTGGGTACAAGGAGGGTGGTGCTTGAAATACATTATGGACTCTATGGTATTTGAGTTAAAAACGTCTTAATGCTGGATTAGTTTCAGCTTTTGTCTTCTCCAGATGTTAACTGATGGACTGGAGTGCTGTGGGTTACTTGTGGATTATTGTGATGTTTTTATCAGCTGTTTGGACTCTCATTCTGACGGCACCCATTCACTGCAGAGCAAGTGATGCAATGCTACATTTCTCCAGATCTGATGAAGAAACAAACTCATCCTGATCTCGAATGGCCTGAGGGTGAGAACATTTTTAACCAATTTTAATTTTAGCTTGAGCTATTATTTTAAATGCTTTTTAAGATATGCTTTTTATGAGACATTAGTCAGATTTTGAGATTATCTGCATTTTGCGTGTCATATTTGCTACCATGATATTGTATTTTACGTATCGGCATCAACAGTGGTGTTACAAATTGTTATGATCTAGGAGAATAGAATGTAACATTCAGATATGAAATTACTGCTGGAGGTGAGCTGGAGAACAGAAGCAACCATGATGCATAAACTAAACTCCTCATCAGTCATGCACTACTAAAACCCTCATTATATCGTTTTACTTTTTCAGTTTTGCATGATAGCAGCCATTTACGAACATCTATGCAAGGATGCACCAGCTTCTGCTCCATCAATAAACCCAGATTCCTTTAAGCGCTGCTAGATTTAGACATGATCAGGTCTTCAGACCGCGGCTGCGCTGCTGATACGGTGTGATGTTGAATTCATGAAACTCTTGTCACAGCTGAGGCAGATGGAGGGTAGACTCTTCCTTTTCTGCCTTTCCCCCCAAAATATCCTCTTAGCAGCATCTGAGCAGAGATCTCAAGTGTCTTTGATGTTTAATGCATAGGGATGCCTTGTGCCTGGGGATAAAGAAGACTAGTCTGTCGAGAGAGAGAGCGAGAGAGAGAGAGAGAGAGATGGAGAGAGAGAGATGGAGAGAGAGAGCGAGAGAGAGAGAGAGAGATGGAGAGAGAGAGCGAGAGAGAGAGAGCGAGAGAGAGAGGGATACAGTCCGGATAAGTGCATGGGATCGGATGTGATGTATTTATCAGTGACAAAGGAATCTTCATATTCATCCTGTGTGCAAACGAAGGCTAAAAGATGCATTGAAAACAGCACAGGGACCACCAGCTTTAAGTGTTTGTTCTTGCATGAATATTGTTTGAAACCCCCATTTATGGATCCAATTTACTAGCCCAATTCAAAATAGTCATGCATATTATTCTATTTTGCAGTAGCATGAATAAACTTAGAAATGCTTATAGGTTTTAGAAATGCAAATAGCACACAACATCCGTTTAGGAAAGGATTATCTGCTGGAACACGTGTAAGAAGAAACTGTGACTAAAACACCGAAAAGAAGCTCATTTCTTGCTCGTCCACGGTTGTGGTTGTGTTTAAATGATCATTTCCAGAGCTTCTGTTAAGCGTTATACACACACAATGACAGAATTATTGTCACTTGATTAACAACAAAACAGCAAACATTTCATTTTCTAGACAGCAATGGGAGAACAGACCCTAATTCATCAACATATAATGTCAAAACATACCGCTTAAATTAAACATGCCTGAAGACTCATGGACAAAATTAAGAAGTAATCAGAATCCACAAAGGAAGCGCAGAGTGAGTTTCAGTTTCGGCCTGAATCTCATTTCATTAATTAAGGGTACAGTTTGATTAATGATAGCATGCGTGTTGAAAAGTGAGAGAGAGAGAGAAAACATACTGAACATACTGTACGTCTGTCTCTCACAGCTTCATGAGTTTGACATTTACTGAAGTCAAATGATAAATATCTTTAGAGCATCCAAAGTTTTCTTCCATACTGCATGAAGGGCGCATTTTAAGAAAACTAAATCTGAATAACCTATGTTTACACAGCAGCAGATACAATTTCCAATGCATTTTGTAGAAACTTTTATCCAAAGCGACTTGCGTTGAATTGAAGGTAAACATGTTATCATGCATTCCCTGGGAATCGAACCCATGACCTTGGTGTTGCAAGCTTCATGATCTAATGTTTGAGCTAAAGAATGACATATTCACACATGGTTTGGTTACAAAAGACAACCGCATTGACTATCTGAACGTTTAGGAGTTGAAAACACATTTTGAGAGCGAGTTTGGCATTATTGGCATTATATATATGAAAACATTATTTCTGAATGTTCTATGAATGATCAAAACGTTCAGTTTTTTAAATGTTTTAAAAACATTTTTGTATGCAAACGTTACTTCCTGTTTGCACCATGAGAAGATGATGGCTGCATCAAAGCTCTTAAACGAAAGGCTGGTAAAGTACCTTAACATAAAGATATGATAAAGATTTTTGGTACATGTTATCTTTAAGGTGTCTAGTATTAATATATGAATTCACAATTATTCAGTTTGTTGGGTGTGGTCATAGAATGAGTAAACATATTGATGGCAACAATAGTGAGACAATAATACAGTGCATAGGTTTAAATACAAGTGCAGTTGTTAGTGAAGGTTGCACTAAAATGTTGCAATGACAAAATATTGCACTAAATTAAAAGTTACAAAAAAGTAGCTAGCCGCACACTGAATCCAATGCAGACTGGAAAAGTCTAGAAAAAAGATAATAACAAAACAAAACAAAAATAAATAAATAAAAATGATTATTTTTTTTATTTGGAGTGCTACCAAATTTTCTTAAGTTTCACTAAATTAAAAGTTCAAATGTTACAAATAAGTTACATTATTGATGTTGTAATACTGGTAGCACTAATATAAAAAAAATGATATATGTTACAATAAAGTAACAATTTTGAAATACGTTGATGGTTGTATTTTTTTTGTCTTTTATCTCAGTATTCCTATCAGTGTTGTATAAGGGATTTCATGCATAATAAAAACAACCCTAGAATGTGATCAAACAGAGATATATAAAACTTTGATGACTGCAGAAATATGTTAATTCAGTGACCGACCACAAAACACTTTTTCAAAATATTAAAAAAATAAATAAATAGTTATTGATTATTTCAAAGGGTTACTAACGACACGTCATTTGGATATTTTCATGTCTGGGAAAAATGTGGGATTAAACGGGTTAACTTGGTTAGCTGGTCACAGACAGAGCACTAGTAGGCTAGTCACCGTTGATAGTAAGCACGACTGAACGGAGCTCTCGTGAAGCGACAGAAGAGAGCACGAGCGCTCAGAGCGCGGAGCAACCGGAGGCAACTACTGCTCGGAACTACGTTTCTTCGGATGTTAAGTGAAGATCAATGTCTCTGTGGACTCTGTCGGTCAGCTCATCCTGATATTTCAGAGAAATGCCCGTATTTACACGGCGCCACAGGTAAGAGAAGACGCGCGGCAGCTTTGACTGGATCTCGGAGGTTTCCGCTGAACTCGACGGTAACTTTTTCAAAATATTAAAAAAAAAAAAAATAGTTATTGATTATTTCAAAGGGTTACTAACGACATGTCATTTGGATATTTTCATGTCTGGGAAAAATGTGGGATTAAACGGGTTAACTTGGTTAGCTGGTCACAGACAGAGCACTAGTAGGCTAGTCACCGTTGATAGTAAGCACGACTGAACGGAGCTCTCGTGAAGCGACAGAAGAGAGCACGAGCGCTCAGAGCGCGGAGCAACCGGAGGCAAATACTGCTCGGAACTACGTTTCTTCGGATGTTAAGTGAAGATCAATGTCTCTGTGGACTCTGTCGGTCAGCTCATCCTGATATTTCAGAGAAATGCCCGTATTTACACGGCGCCACAGGTAAGAGAAGACGCGCGGCAGCTTTGACTGGATCTCGGAGGTTTCCGCTGAACTCGACGGTAGTGTGTTACGCAGTTACTTTAACCTGAAATACGAGCACGTTTTTAATAAGAATTAGCAAATTAAATGTTCCCAAGTTGAATGAAATGTAAAAACGATTCGAATGAAGCTTTGTGGAGTATTGTTCTGGTCAAATCCTGTTTTGATGTCTTGTAGTCGTATTTAATATTTAATTCACACAACAACAGTTTCAGCAGTTTCATCCATGCAAAGCGCAGTGCTTATTGAGTTATCTATTGCAGACTGTAAAATGTGTCCATATGTTGTTGTATATTGTTATATAATTTACATATGCCCATGCGTCACATGTCTTTTGTTATCTAGAAATTAAGAAGCAGAATTAAACTCATTCATCAGAGCGTTAGAGCGGTTTGGCTGACATATGTTCATGTTTTCTTGTCATAGTCATTGGCAAATTCACTTTAATGGCACATTATGCAGTTAAAGGAAAATGTGATTTTTTTTTGTCTTGCATTGCTTTCTTTTATTGTAATTGCACTCTATGCCTATATGAAGTATTAATGCGTTTCCATTGCTTTTGGCACAGATTTTTATTTTTTCCAAAATTGGCAAGGAGCAGTTCACATCATCTTGTAATTTAGCAGATCACTTGGTTTGTATTAGTATGTGTTACTGTCAGGGATAAGATGTGATATAGTGTTATAGTCGTGTATGTGCTGAAGTTGCTCCCACAGCGGCTCTCGAGTCAAGCATGACACGCAGAGCAAATGTAGGATTGGGAATGAACAGGATTAACTTAAATTACTTTTTTTAGAGTAGAGTTGTGGGAACATCGCCTCAATTTATCATCAAAATTCCAGAACCGGGATTTTGAGAGTGTCACATTCCCCCGTCACATCCGGAGAGATCGACTGTGTGTAATTGCAGCATTTCAGAGTGTCACAGGGCAAACCAGCAATCTAGTTAAGGCATAACTAAACCCTGAGTAACAGCTGGGTTGAGAGGTTGATCTGAATGACGGCCATATTCTGTCCTACTGAAGGTCAAAAATAAGATAATGAAGCCACCCCAGGGACACGGGCTATCATCATTGATGGCCTCTGTAAAGCACCAACTCCATCAGTCTTACAGGCTTGATTGGCCATCAATCACAGTATCTCTGGATGGCGCGGTGGGAGGGTTGTTATATTGCTCTACGCGATCAACCGCCTCTCCATATCTCCACGAGTAGAGGATGAATCTCTCTGGCTCTTCCTCCAGTTTTAGCTGTGTAGGACTGGTCTTGATTTCAGTTTTCTAGCTTCTCTGCCTTGACCTTTTGGTTCTTTGCAAACTTGAGTGACAAATCGTGCAGAAAGTGTGACAGCTGATCCATTATTTCTCCTCATACGTCCTCCCCGGTGTATAAGCCCGCACTTGAATGAAAGATCCTTTGGGATTTTGCACTGTTGTAAGAGGATAATCCCATTTACAACAAATCAAAGAACAAGAAAAAATAAATTATACATGATTTATACTTTATTTTAGCAAGTGTGTGTGTGTGTGTGTACCTGTTTTTCTATTCTGGTGGGGACTTAAGCCTGAATACACACAGACTCATGGGGACTCGTGTCACGGTGGGGACCTAAATTGAGGTCCCCATGGGTACAAAAGCTTATAAATCATACCGAATGAGTTTTTTTGAGAAAGTAAAAATGCAGAAAGTTTCCTGTGAGGGTTAGGTTTAGGTGTAGGGTTGGTGTAGGGCAATAGAAAATACAGTTTATACAGTATAAAAACCATTATATGTGTGTGTGTGTGTTTTCTCATTGTTGTACTTGTTTATTCTGACATTGTTTTGCAGTTTTGGATTCTTAGGATTCTTAGCAAAACTGACATTTCTTTTGGTAATTATAGGGGGGCTTCTTTTTCTATTCTTATTTCATCTTCCTCTTTTATTGAACCATTTTCTGACATTTCATGGAGTTGATTTTGACTTCAGAGTATCTAGAGTTCTAAAGCAGATCTTGCGTTTTGATAATAACATGACATTGCGACTGACATTTATATTTTTTGACATTTAAGAGAGACTTATTGTAAAATATGTCTGAAGCGTTTTGACAAGCTTTGAAAAACTTATTTATGCTGCTATCTTTGATTCTTTTCAAAATACAGTTCATTTTTTTTGTTCTATTGCTGCAAAAATAATTTGGTGGCAGTTTTATTTTAGCAAAGAAATATGCATTGACAATTTACTTTGACTCCAAACCATCGGCCACAGAACTCCACAAATTTTAAATGAACAAAAAATCATAAAGACTTACACAAATGCATGCAATTTTAAACGAATCGGTCAGCTTTTTAGAGCACACCAGAATCTTGATGGCTTTTAAACTGGCATTTTTCAAACTAACACATTTTCTGGATTTTCTCTTAAAATGATCTAACATTGTTTGTGCAATGACTTATTCACAATAAATGTTGATTCATTCTCTTTTAGGCTCTGCTCATTTACCTGTTTGTAGATTTGCTTCAACGATGCCGTTTAGCCCAACTTGAGGCACTGAAGGTAAAAAAATGACACTACCGTTCAAAGGTTTGGGTACAGTAACATTTTATTTTTCTATCACAGGAATACATTTTATTTTACAATATATTAACAAAGAAAACAGTTATTTTGAATTGTAATAATATTTTTAAATATTACTGTTTTACTGTATTTTGATCATTAATGAAAAATAAATGCAGTGAGCATATGTGACTTCCAAAAATATATTTTAAAAAAATCTCTCCCAACCCCTGAACAAAATTATACAAGTGTAATTGCATTCACAAATGAGGCAAATGCACAATAGCTCGTTTAGTAGTAGAATGATAATGTCAAATCAGTTCATTGTGTTGATGAAGATAATGTATTCTGGTGTCCTGTGCCAGACTGCAGAAACTGAGAGGATCTTAATGGAAGAAGTCGGTTCTGCAGAACCTCCGACACAAAATGCAGAAGAGGAAGAAGATGGGGAGGAAGTGGAAGAGGCAGGTATGACACATTATAAAAAGTTACTGAATGAAGCATCCGACTCTATGACTCTATTTATTTATTGTTTGTTTTCATTTTATGTTATTTTAATATTTTTTTATTTTTTTTTCCTAAATATGCCGGTTAATCATGTTTGAAGAAGATTGTTGACTGAAAAGTTTTTAATGAAGATTTGCATGCTTTGCCAGTTCATAGGGTTTTGCTAGTCTTTTCATTTTCAGTGCAATTGAAATGAGAAGAATATTTTAGGATCTAATATCCTGCAATGCAGCTTTGACTCCTAAGTCTTTGGAATACTTATTATCCACAAGAGATATGATCCTCAAAGCCAATATTTTGATATGAAATACACTGTTAAAAAAAGTGTCTGCTGAACTGCTATCATAATTATTTTTTTTTTTTTTAACTAAATGTCTTGACTGAATTTACAAGGGTAACAATCAGCTAACGGATCATTTTGAGTATAGTACCAAACACACAAACAGAGGTTACTAAATGTGACAAGAAAATCAGCAACATTGTAAATAGAATGGAATAGAAATGGTTAAACAAGGCAACTATAATTTTTCATGTCCCATGCTAGGAAGAGGGAAAATGGAACCACAGAACCATGCTTTCTCGATAGTAAGTACATCAAATGCTGTTTTATTTGTTGATTTTATTTTTAGAATTATTACATGGTCTACTCGTATTTAGATAACCTTAAAGTTTTTAATAAAGACTTGATCCTTGGATTTATATATCTCTGTGATTTCCCATCTCTGTAGGTATTACTTTACCATTGTTGTTTAGAGGCCAAGGCTCAGTGGTAAATTTGGCGCTGGCACTCATTTAAAGTAAACATATTTGTATTTGCCTTCATTCTTGCTGTTTTCCCCGCTGTTTAACTGGTTAGGCGGGAGGTGGTAGGCCACGTAAAACAGTAGGAAGTATAGCAGGAAACAGATGGCAGCTGTATTGTTTCTTTGCTAAAAGGACTACAGGGACTGTTAACGGAACCAGATCGGGGAGTAACGCAGAGGCGACGCTGAAACGCTTCAGTATTGGCGCTAACTAATCAGGGCTCATCTTGGCCCACGCAACAGAGACATTAAGTATTTTTGACATGAGATGGAGGGAATGGACAGCTAATGAAGATGAATGAGGCAAAGAGAGGGGGCCGCCCTGTCAGCGGGGATGATGGGCGAGAAAAGAAGCCTTCCTGTGAACGTCAGTGGGAATCACAGCCATCTGACACAGACACACAAATTGTCACTGACCCACATGGTATTGAAGTAAAAAAACGGTAACTTACTGTAAATATCCTGAACTTGGTTTAAGCTGCGTATCCTCATTATTATCAAGTTTTATACAACAGTTCTTTCTGGTCCTTAAATCTGATTGGCTGAGAGGAGTGCAATATTCTAGTGATAACAGAGCTATAACTGTTTCACCATTTGTATCTCTCCGTTTGCGGTATTTCTCACAGCGAGTGTCATGGAGGATGCCCAGACCACTATAATTTTATAAATAATATAAATAATAGTTTTTGTATAACAAAATGTAGTTTTAAAGAGTTTTTTAGGTGAGAATGTACTTGTTTAGACTTAAAATTATCAGTTTATTAATAAAGATAACGTCTATTTGAACATTTGCTTCAGCGTTTTCGGAGATATAAGCTCCAGGGCGTCAGCGGACGTTTAGCGCTCATGAACTCGCTGAGGTAAAGCAGCCTTACCTCGGCCAGATCTTCTGGAATTTGTCACTGGCTCTGATGTCTCTATAGTGGTTAAACATGAGATATAATTAGTTTTGGGTAAATCTAACGGGTAATCTTTGGTTTCATTAATCTATAATTTGTTTCAGAGCAAATAGTTTTGGCTGAGGGCAAAATCTCATACACATTATATTTTATGTAACTTTAATGCTGTATTTCAGAGCGCTGCCTTTGTACTTTTGACTGAATTGTCTAGCAACTTTTATGATGGCTGTTGTTGTTGTTGTTGTTGTTGTTTATTATTCAATAAATACTATTTTATATTCATAGTAGTATTTAGTATTGAGAAACAGTGTGTGTGTGTGTTCATGATGGTGATTTTTGTGACATTGTTCCGCCATTAGATGGCGACAAGAGACTGTTTTACGAGT